GTGGGAGCAAGAATCCATCGTTTTTTATTTTCACACGCCTTTTTATTCTTTTCTTGTAATATGCATAGCTTTTCACCCCCTTGTGTTCACAAAAAGCATTTCTGGCCAAGTGGTAAGGAGTGAGATGATGGAACAAAAGGTGGTGGGTTCAAACCCCACCTTATTCATTTTCTTCTTTTCCATTTCTTTGTATAAAATGCAAATGATTTATGCCATGTAATATATTTTATATGATATATTTATTTTTTATTTATACTGATGCAGATGAAAAAAAAAAAAAAAAAGAAAAATATGCTAGAGGGGTCGGTCAAATTTTGGGGTACAACAGTACTGCACCAACATATCACGACATCTGGTATGACATCTCACTAGAATACTTGAACAAGATATGCTTCCGTCCCGCACCAACATGTCACGACATCTGGTACAACATCTCGCTAGAATACTTATTTTAACAAAATGCAGCCATCATAAAGCATATATCATAACGTTCCCCCCTTTGGAAAATTTTGGCTAAAAAACCTTTGCAAAACATATCATATAACAACTAATAAACTTAAGAGAACTTCTTCAAAGAAAAAAACACAATAAACAAACTTGGAACTTCTCTGAGATGCATCAGAGGTGCACAAGCAGAACTAGATAAAACCAGCCTCACAGAGTGCGCCATCAAAGATGAATAAACTCTCACAACAGAGAGAAATAAACTCTCACAACACAATTTCCACAGAGAAAAATAAATTCTCCCAAACAGAATGTTATGACATCAAGCACATAATCATCTCCATTCAGGATGTTAAGACATTAGTTATTACCTCAAGTATCTCACACTCATGTCAGCATCAAAACATCATGCTCTCCCTAAACACCAGATCAGGAGCAGAAACTACCACTCCCCCTTAAGGGGACAAAACCAAATCTCAAACTACTCCTCCTTTTTAGCCATAATTTAGACCAAACAACCATACTTTCACCAGGAGAAAAAACAACCTCTGTAACAGATACAAAAATAATAAAAAAATAGGGCACAATAGATATCAGCACTGCTACCTGTTTCCTCATCTTTATCACCACCTCACTAGATGTCACAACATTGTCTGGGACATGTGTCCCTGCAAATAGTGCAAAGAAAGAGGAGATTCCTTCCTACATGCAATATCTGAGCTGACCAAAGTACCAAAGTGCTACAAACACCTTATCAGTCACTTCCACCTCAACTTGCTCCTCATCGCTCCAATCCATAAACCTGTTGATAATTTTAGGAGAAAACACCACACTTTTACCTCTGTCATAAACCTTATTATACTCCTTGCTCATATTATTATCACAGTCCTAAAATATGTCTACAATAATTTTATTCACCAGTATCTCATAACAGTCACCAAAACCAGCAACACGCTTCATCAAACCAGCATCCTCAATAAGATTCACCACCAAATATAGGTAAGAGAAAGTATTCGTTGTACTCCTCCACACCTGTAATTTTTATAACTCCTCAAACGTGCAAATTCCCAATTCACCCCTTAACTTTTCAAATTGATTTGCATCCAAAGCCTCAGTAAATATGTCTGCCAGTTGCTTCTCAGTGACCACATGCTCAAGAGTAACAATTTTATCCTCAACAATATCCCTAATAAAATGATGACAAATGTAAATATGCTTTGTCCTACTATGTTGGATTGGATTCTTAGATATATTGATTGCACTTATATTATCACAATATAGTGTCATGACATCATGTTCAACATTATATTCCTTTAGCATTTGTTTCATCCAAATAAATTGAGAGCAACTGCTTCCTACAACAATATACTCAGTCTCAATTGTAGACAAAGACACACAATTTTGCTTCTTACTGAACCAAGAGATAAAAAAATTTCCCAAGAAGAAACATCCTCCAAAAGTGCTTTTTGTATCATCAACACTACCTGCCCAATCTGCATCACAATACCCTAGAAGCATTGAATTAGTACTATGATAATACAACATGCCATAATCACAAGTATCATTGATGTAGTTCAAGATCCTCTTCACTTGAGTGATGTGACTCATTTTAGGCTCAGTCTGATATCTGGAACAAACTCCTACAACAAAAGTGATGACAGGTCTGCTAGCTGTAAGATACAACAAACTACCAATCATACTCTTGTATAAACTTTGATCCACACCTACACCTTTCTTCTTAGCATAAGGCATGATGTCTTGAACATCTTGTTCAACATCATACTCAGAGTCACTTGAGGGAACTTCCTTTCTTTTCAATGAATTTTTCTTGGTAGCATGGGCCACAATGTTACTCCATCCTTTGTCAGGTCCAACCTTAATAATTTCCTTGGATGCCTTAGAAGGCTTGCTTATAGACATAACAACCTTCCCTTTTCTGTTCCTCAATCCTTTAGCAATACCAAGAGCTAATTTCTTTCCTATAGGCTCATCATCATAATCTAGACCATCTATATTGACAATGTCAGTAGACTGACCCTTCTTCATACTTGTACTTTCTTCTTTATCTTCTTTGTCAAACAAATTTTTCTCCTCTTCAGCAGACATATTATTATCATCAAAATCATCTTTTTTACCACCAACGAAATCACCTTCGTCCATATTCTCTTAATATTTTTTTGGAGACTCACTACGAGAGTTTTCTTGTATGGTTTCAACAAGATGATTAGGTTGGGCCAAGGATGTTGCAATATCCGGCACAACACCAGACTCTAGTTCAACCACCAAGATCTTAGAGAGAGACATATGAACACTTGTATCAACATTGTCATTAATATAAGTGTGCAACTTCTCCGTTAGATGTTTTGCATGATGTCAAAACTTTAAGTATTTCTAATTGTGTGTGGCACTCCTACATTAGAGGTCTTAGGAATTAGGAATCATAAACTACTTCAAATGTCCAAAATCATGAAAATAAGTTTCTACACAAAAACGCACTGCATGTGTCGGCACATTCTCATTTCAAGACGACACATGTAACTCATTATTCAAGCATGTAGATTCTATTTTGTTTTGGTCGACACATATTTGCTTCAGGTCGGCACATATTGAAAGTTTAAATAGTATGTGCCAGCACATACGTATTTCAGGCCGGCACATCTACTGTTATAAATAAGATTGTAGATCTTGTTTCTCTTGGGCCGACACATGTGTCATTTCAGGTCGACACATGCTATTATTTTTGACACTATGTGCTGACACATGTGTCATTTCAGGTCGATACATGCTGTTATTTTTGACAGTATGTGTCGGCACATTCGTCGTTCAGGCTGGCACATACTGATGAAGTTGGTCAACTTGTTTTTCTCTCTCAGTTACAAAGTTTCCTCTTTGCCACCAAACTTCTAAAACTATAAATACATCATTCATGCTTTTTTCCAAACGAGTGACACCATAAAATTAGTCTGCATTTGCTCATCATCTTCAACCTCCATCCTATGTCTACACACTGACAAATCACACATAATAATCTTTTGTTGGGGTGCCAACTAGGTGAAGGCTTGATAAGGTCCAATTAAGTTCTAGTGTAGCTAAGATATTAGGTTCTAGTGCAATTCATCTCAGAGAATGATGTTTATAAGTTTAAGCGGTAACAAATGAATTAGGTTAGGGCAAAACTTAATTAATGAATGTTTTTATAGAAAAAATTGAATAATTTTTCAAATTTTTTTTATAAGTCAAATATATTCAATCTTCAGGGTACTATAATAGGGGTACCTTAACCCACTATACAACCAACAAGCCAATACAAACTACACCCACATTTATATAAAATCTAATGGTTACTTATACCACTCATAAAACTACAATAGGTTCTACCCTTAGATAAAGTTAATATCCACCCCAAGAGAAATACATGCTTCTTACCACTATCGAATCCGGATCACCGACCACATCATTGAAAATTACTTGATTTCTACCCTACCAAATACTCCAACAAACCACCATCCATAAGCTACAAAAATGTTTTTAGAGCACCTTCTCTAAGCTTTTCTAACCATGACAACAATTGTTTTGATAAAATCGTTTCGTTATCCCCCCTTATCTCCAACCATTCACAAACCTTATTCCAAACAATCCTTGTCCTAGGACAAGTAATAAAAAAGTGACTAGCATCCTCCGTTGGTCCAAAGCAAAGAACATAGACAAGTTCATGAGGATTAGAAAGGGTACCACGACAAAAAAGGTTGTCTCTCGTAGGTAATCGGTCCAGGAGAAGCCTCCAGCCAAACACCTTTGCCTTTGAAGAAATTAGTGATTTCCATAAACAATTCATGGCAACTTTGGTATGCTCCTCCAACACCCCTTCTCCCACGGCCAGTATCACAATAAAGTAAAAAGAACTGACAGTAAAGCAGTTAGAATCGCCCAAAGGCCAAAAAAATCCATATTGAACAACCTTAAATCTTTCTAGCCAAGGCCTCCTTTCTCCTTAGTCTTGCATATGGAATCTCAACTATTGAATCAAATGACTCTCATCAGTGTCTCACAATCAAAAGTCTCACTCTAACCTTTTTAGAATTTTGATTTTTTTTAGTAATGAGGTAGAGATTTCTATTTATAACTAAGACACTCCACTTTAGTTTCAAATATTTTCAATGCGAGGCTTAATTTTTTTCGCAAAGTTGACAACACTAAAACAAAAATGTACTTTCTTCTGATATTCTTTTATCTAAAACAAGCACCACACTAATATATATATTTTTACATCAACCTGAAGATTCTAGCATTCTTTAACTCTTCCTTAAACTGATTCTTGTAATCCAGTTAGAGGCAATAAAAGCCACAATCTATGTGATACATAGGTCCGACTCCGGTAAGACTTTTAAATCTTAAACCCCGTTTATACCAATCTAATATTCGGTCTAGTTTTGATTACCTTAATTGTGACAGATGAGACAAGAATATGACTTAATAGTGTATGCCTACGATGTCAAAATGTATGCAGTAATTCACTAATTCTTAAATCTCACATGTAGATGTTTAATACCAACAAAATGGTGAAAACATCTAAGTCTGTCATTGGAGTTTTCAGTCTTGAAATTAAAGCACCAGAAACTAGTTTTGTCTTTTATCCCATGAACATGACAAATATTTTCCTTGAATATCCCGATTAATCTACAAGATAGATGCTGCATTCATATATTATAAGTTATAACAATAAGGATTTTACTTTAAAAAGCTATATTAGGCCTCAGTTACTATAATCCAAACATAAACATGGTATGTAAATGTGTCCTGATATGATTCATTATTAGTACATTCTGTTATACATTTATAGTATGATAGTACTTTAACATTAACTCATATCTTGCAGGCTATTGAAATAGAAAATGGAAAATGGCATGGTTCAATTAGCGGCATAATTGGTGCACCAATTGACAAAGTTTGGACCATAGTTTCTCAAACTAAGAATCTTCCAGAATGGATGCCAATGGTGGAAAGATGCACTGCCTTAGCTGGAGATGAAGATGAACCAGGCTATGTTAGGTTAGTTTCCGGTTTCATGTTTCCTCAACAAGATGGAGAAAGGTCATGGATCAAAGAGAGGTTGGTTTCAAAGGACTCTTCATCACATAGTTATGTTTATAGAATGGAAGCAAGTAATGTTGGTTTGGATGGATCTGTAAATTCACTAAAATTAGTTGATTATGGAGATGAATCAACTCTTCTTCAATGGTCTTTTGAGATTAATCCTCTAGAAGATGTGTCTGAGAACAACTTAGTGGATTATCTAGGATTTCTATATAAATCTTGCATTAATAAGATTGAAGGTGCTGTTGAAGTAAAAAAGATGTGACAACATTTTCAACCATATTGTTGAAAATAGTGACTAGATTCTAGATTCTATAAATCCAATAATCCACACTTTCTCAAACCACTTGGTGCAATCACGTCTTACACTCATTGGTCAACAAAGACAGAACAACTGCACAATTATATTTTGATTAGTTGTTGGTCGAATCCACTTTTCCATACATTTACTTTACTAAAAATAAAACATTCAAATCATTTTCACTCAAGAACAAAATTTAAAACAATAAAGTTTATTTTTTAATTCATCAAAAAATTGATGTATCTAGATTATATGTTGTAGAGATACATTGATTTTTCAATAAATTTAAAAAATAAATTTCTTTATATATTAAAGATTAGAAGTAATATTAATTCTCACATGAAGCCAGAATATCATAAATGGATAAAAATAACTTTGAATCAGCTAATTTGCCAGCTTTAACAGATTGATAATGATTCTCATGATAAATTGCTGTCACATAAAAATGCTTGGAGAAAACCATCTTGTGTTTCAAAAATATGAACCAGACTTCATTCCAATATTGCTATTACACCTACACCACAAAATAGGAATAAATGTTTGTAAGCGTCCTAGTGACCATATGAACATTACTCAATGATATAAAATTAAAACATATAGAAGGCTTAAAACTTGTCATAGTCGTATCAACCTCTATTTAGTTATATTCATTTCAATCCAGTCCTATCGCGACAGTTTGAAAAATATTAATAATAAAATTATAAAACTTTTCGGTTTGAAAGTTTTGTAAACCCTCTTTCAAATGCATTTAACCATACCTCAAGAGGAGTTACGGAACTCTAGTTCTATTCATTTCAGTTCAGCCCTATCGCGATAGTTTCTGCATAAACTCTAAAATAAAATGTTTGACTTCAAAATAACACAAAAAGTTATATACTCATGATAAAATTATGAAACTTTCCATTTTAAAAGAACATTAATGCTTCTTTCGAACGGAACTGATGGCATCATGATAAAGTTATGTCTGGAATAAGGTGGTCAACCCCCTTCTATGTCTATCTGTGATTTTTTGCATTTTTCACTTTATTGAAAAGATCCAAAACTCGATCAATTTGCTCAATGGAGCGAATTGGTCGAGTTTTTGATATATTTAATAAAATGAAAAACGCATAAAAACGCAGGTAACCATAAAAGGGGGTTGATCGTCTTATATCATGCATAACTTGAGTGTTGTAAGTTGGTTTGATATGTCGTCAATTACGTTAGAAAGAGGACCTAATGATATTTTAAACTATAAAGTTTCATAATTTTATCACGAGTATATAATTTTTCATGATATTTTGGAGTCAGTCATTCTACTTTAGAGTTTATGTAGAAATTGTCGCAATAGAGTTGAACTGAAATTAATAGTACTAGAGTTATGTAACTCCGCTTAAGATACGGTTAAGTGCGTTTAAAAGAAGGTTTAAAGAACTTTCAAACTGGAGAGTTTGATAATTTTATCATAAGTGTATAATCCTTGGTGCTATTTTGAAGTGAGACAATTTTAGAGTTAGGTTTAGAGTTTTGAGCAATTTTAAGTGTGGTGAGATTCGTTACCTTTTTTTATGAGTTTAAGGATCCTAATTTATTTGGTTAGAGTTATTATAGAGTTGTCAGAGTTATTTTTGAGTTTTTTAGAGTTGGTGATCAGAATATAGGATACATTAAAGCTGAGATTGGAGTAGTGTTGACATTATAAGGTTACCTTTTGAGTAATTTTGAGAAAAACAGTATGTTATGTCCTTAGTAGAGTTATCAATCGTGAATCTTATCCTTAGAGTAATCGGATACTTTAGAGTACCCTTGGGTTATTCGAAGGTTATTTTGAGGATTTTCTGAATTTTTTAGAGTTTAGAAGCCCTTTGGTGACATTTTGCAGCATCTTGTGACATTAGACTCCTTTTGGTAATCTTAGTGTCACTTTTGAGTAAATTAAGGAAATTGTTTGCCATTACCCTGTTGATGGGCCGACACAATAATAATAACGAGTTTATGGAAAAATATGAATTTTTGAGAAAATTATGAGTCTTTGAGACTTTTTGAGTTTATTTGAGCAATTTGATGAGTTGAGGATATTTGGTAATAACATAACTTTATATTTTGAGATAAAATTATTTAAATTATTTCAAAAACATATTTTTTTAGTATAGTAATCCAGAGGGATTACATTGATGGTATTAATTGGCGATTTGGATATAGTAATCCACCGAGATTACAAAGACGACCTTCATTGGTGATTTAAGTATACTAATTCAGAAGGATTACAGTGACAATCTTGATTGGCGATTTGAGTATAGTAATTCAGATGGGTTATAGTGAGGCCTTGATTGGTGATTTGAGTATAGTAATTCAGAGGGATTACAATGATGGCTTGTGATTGGTGAATTATAGGTTCAAGAGTGAAACCTTTTTTAAAATGTTTGAGACTTGTGTTTTGTTATGATTTTGAGATAATGATGATGTTGCATGTTTGTGTTGTTTGTAATCATGCATTCATGTATTTCGGAGATAGGTAGGAGTTCGGTTCAGTGATGGACTGGTTCAAAGAGGGACTATGTCAGTCTCACGTTCAGAGAGAGACATGGTTCAGAGAGGAACCAGAGACATGGGAATATCAGTAACATACCTCTGATCCCAATGATTTTGGTACCACATGTATTTGAGAATTGGATGGTGGCATTGTATTGTGTCTACATTATAACCTAATTAATTGTGTTTTGAATGTGATTGAGAATACCGTTATATTCGTTATTATTGTCCTGGTTTCTTGAATTTCATCGTTAACATTTATTAGATGTATTCTTACCCCATGTTTCTTGTTGTGGAATCTGTGATCTTCGGGAGTATAGACAATTAGGTACAAAAGTAGCGGTTTGATTTAGAGGACGATGTCAATGCCTCTTTAGCTTTTATCATTGAGTCTTAGAGGAGTCGCTCTATTATGTAGCACTAAGGATGAAATGTCATTCGTTATTTGTGTTATGTTTTATTTATATTGGAGTTTTTGGTTTTTGAGACTTTTATGTCACACTTGTTTATTTTCTCTACTTACTTTTACATGACTATTTAGTATTTGATATTTTTATGCTATGGTGAAGCATGTGTGACACTTTAATTGTGGATTTTTATTTGAATTATTTTTTTAAAAGTCGAGTCGAGGATTAAGGTGTTATAAGACTGGCTTTATAAATCAAACCACTTTGAACTGAACCCGATAAAACCAATAATTCAAACGATCAGAATTAGGCCTATAATGTTCACCTATGGGTTTGTTCTGATTGATGGTTTTAGCCCAAAATCGAATTGAATCGATCATATGTCTAGCCATAGATGATTGTATACAACACAAGGATGTGATTTGATCTTTAATCAAGAAAGGTCGGCAATCCGGATGTGTCCAAGGCGATAAGCAGGACCGAGAAGAATCTCCGAAGACAATCCCCTACAAAAGTTCCTGAGTCTGGTCCCAGTAGTGAAAAGGAAGAAACTAGCAACGGAAAATGCCCATATATTACCGTCATCACTGGTCAAGAGAAAGTCGTCAAGATGATGGTTGTTTACAAGGGCAGAGGTAACTCGTCGTTCGACATCCCCAATTGGCCCATTCTTGAGTTTTAAGACTCCAAAAAAGTTGGAGGAATTCCCAACGAATTGTATTTAATCCTTAATATATTTTTATTTAAGAAAGACCTTTTTGATAGAATTAAGTCAAGATTTTCTTTCCCTTAGTAAATTTACCTAGAGTTTTATGCAAATATTTTATTTCATTTTTAATTGAGACACAAGTCTCCATGTTTCAGCTAGGTTTCTAATATTAGTTGTTTCCTGCTTAAACATTTCATTGATATTTTCTAGAATTTCAAGATAATCTTTAAGATCTAAATTATTCTTTTTAATCTTATCATTTTCTTCAATTAACTTAGTTCATAATCTAAACAATTGCTTGTATGGTAGCTTTGTTATCTCACATTCATCTTCTTCGTGAGATTCTTTTAAGCAAAATTTATATTTCTCGTCTAGAGATGATTCTTCGAAGGTTCTTTTAGAGGTTGACTCTTTGAGGTTTCTCCTTGAGGTTGAATCTCTGAAAGTTCATTGAGACTTCCTTCTCTCGTATTCTCTCGAATATTTTATTATGAGACTTCTTCTTCATATTATTCTTTTGATGAAGTTCCTCCATCTGATGTTGAATCCTCCGAGGTGTTAGGAAAAAAACAAACAATGCATAGAGAAAAAAGAGGAACACAATCACAACACAAGAACATAACGTGGAAACTTCAAAACCGGAGAAAAAACCATGGTCATTGTCAATAGATAATCAGAGAATAACACTATGTGAAAATTGTTACAACACATAATATACACTCAACTAACTTAGGCCCCCAGTACACCCATACCCTCCAAAACTAATAGTTAACTACATCTCACAACATTCTAAAACAAGAGTATAAGAGAACAAAGAAAGTCAAATACAAGCTTAAAGTGTTTTTTTACTGGTGCATCTTGGAATGAAAAACTTGAATCATATATATAGCTTTGGACTTCCTCTTCCTTTACAAAATTAAGCAATGTGGGATTTGGAAGAACTTGAATCCTATATATAGTCTTGGACTCCCTCTTTAATCATAAAACTAAGTAATGTGGGACTTCTTCAACATGTAAATTTTTAACCAATCTCAACAATCTCCACCTTGATCGAAAATAATACACAAACTATCATTGTCTTTACCGACAATCATACTCTACCATAAATAGTATCAACATGTATATTTTCAACCAACCCCAACAATCTCCACATTGATTGAAAATAATACATAGACTTTCATTGTCTTCATCGACAATTATACTCAACCATAAAGAGTATAGTCACTTGAAGTTGTACCAATCCAAGAATTTTCACATTGTCTTCACCGACAATCATAGTTTTAAAAACTATCATACTCTCTCATGAAAAATATATTTCACTTGAATATAAACCACTT